ACAGATTTGAGAAGATTCCTAATTCTTCTTGCCACCCACTATACATGCAGAGACCAAGTGCAGAAGAATCTTTCTGGAGAAGTCCTATGAATCCCTAAGAAAATAAAAGTAATCTTTCCAAATTACTCTGAAAATAATCAAATACCCATTAACAATTTCTGGAAGGAATACAACTTATTTCTGGAAAAGAGTGTGAAATTATATAGTTTCATAAGGGTTCCTGCTAGTCCTTACAGATATTTTCCCAGGAGTTTAAGAAACTGTATGGAAACAGGACTGTAAATTATATGAACTCTTCTCTTTCAAAAGCAATGGACTAAAAACATTGTGGAAAGCTTTGCTTTATACAGATCTTAGAAGTTGTCTTAAAAAAAAAAATTCTTCTGACATTCTAGAGCAGTGGGAAAGTAGAACAAATGGTCAAATGATTTTAAGGAGTAAACAGACTTGGGTAATGGAAACCAGAGAATATTTTATGAGATCAAGAAAAGGAGAATACTCTATGGAATTCTTCATAGATGAATTCATAGAAACGATTTTTTTAAGAAACAGATGTGGTAACAGATCATAGCATGAATGCAGAGCCATTATTGTTTGCACAGGTAAAACCAGAAAAATTACATAAAAAAGAAAGGATAAAGACAAGCCCAGAATTTGGGGACAAAACTTCAGCTGCTTTGGTACCTTTACTGGAGAGGAACTGACTCAAAGATTCCTGTAATAGAGCAAGTTTACTTCACTAAGTTAATAATCAACCAAGAAAACAAGTATAACTTCTGTCACCTCTGAAATATTTGCCTGAGTTGCAAACAAAACTTCTTCCTCGTTTTATTGTGTCAATCAGAGAGCCACATTCACTCTTAACAGCAATTCAAGACTGTCCAAGCACATTGTCCAAGCCTCCAAAAGTCCTTGCTGCTTCCATGTCAATAGTACAGAAATGCAGTCTGTACCCATACCTTCAGTAATTGCCTCAAGTTTCCATGTTACGTAATAAGGCTTAGATCATAGAATCATAGAATGGTTGGTATTGGAAGGGACCTTAAAGATCATTGAGTTCCAACCCCCCTGACATAGGCAGGGACACGTTCCACTAGACCAGGTTGCTCAAAGCCTCATCCAACCTGGCCTTGAACACCTCCAGGGATGGGGCACCCACAGCTTCTCTGGGCAACGTCTTCCAGTGCCTCACAACCCTCAAAGTAAAATATTTCTTTCTAATATCTAAGCTAAATCGACTCTCTTTCAGCTTATAACCATCACCCCTCATCCTATCACTACACTCCCTGATAAAGAGTGCCTCCCCATCTCTCTTGTAAGCCCCCTTGAAGTACTGGAAGGCTACTAGAAGGTCGCCCTGGAGCCTGCTCTTCTCCAGGCTGAGCATCCCCAACTCTCTCAGCCTGTCCTCATAACGGAGGTGCTCCAGCCCTCTGACCATCTTCACGGCCCTCCTCTGAACTCGCTCCAACAGGTCCATGTCCTTCTTACGCTGGGGGCCCCGCAGCTGGATGCAATACTCCAGGTGGGGTCTCATGAGAGCAGAGTAGAGGGGGAGAATCACCTCCCTTGACCTGCTGGTCATGCTTCTTTTGATGCAGCCTAGGACATGGTTGTCAAGCGCACATTGCCAGCTCATGTTCAGCTTCTCATCAACCAACATCCCCAAGTCCCTTTCCTCAGGGCTGCTCTCAAGCCATTCTCCACCCAGCCTGTATTTGTGCTTGGGGTTGCCCCAACCCACATGCAGGACCTTGCACTTGGTCTTGCTGAACTTCATAAGGTTTGCATGGGCCCACCTCTCAAGCCTGTCAAGGTCCCTCTGGATGACATCCCTTCCCTCCAGCCCCACACAGCTTGGTGTAGTCAGCAAACTTGCTGAAGGTGCACTCAGTCCCACTGTCCATGTCTCTGACAAAGATGTTAAACAACACTGGCCCCAGTACTGACCCGTGTGGAACACCACCCATCACTGTTCTCCACTTGGACATTGAGCCATTGACCACAACTCTTTGGTTGCGACTGTCCAGCCAATTCCTTATCCAGTGAGTGATCCCTCCATCAAATCCATGTGTATTGGGTCTGGCTGAGATGGAGTTAATCTTCCCCACAGCAGCCCTCATAGTGCTGTGTGTTGCATTGGTAGCTAGAGAGGTGTTGATAACACCAGTGTTTCAGTTACTGCTTAGCACTGCTCACACAGCATCAGGGCTGTCTCACCAACACACCTGCCCCCCCAAGTAGGCTCAGGGCCACAGGGGTGGGCAGGATCCTGGGAGGGGACAGAGCCAGGACAGCTGATCCGAACTGACCAAGGGGATATTCCATACCATATGATGTCTGCTCAGCAATAAAAGCTAAGGGAAAGGAGGATGAAGGGGGCATTTGTTGTTCTGACGTCTGTCTTCCAGAGCAACTGCTATGGGGATTCAAGCCCTGCTTCCTGGGAAGTGGCCGGACATCACTTGCTGATGGGAAGTTGAGAATAAACTCTTTGTTTTCCTTTGCTTAAGCATGTCCTTGGCTTTTTGCTTTGTTAAGCTGCTTTTATCTTGACACATGAGGGTTTTTGCATGTTATTTTCTTCCTCCTTGTTCTGCTGAGGAGGGGAGTGATAGAGCGGGCTGATGGCCACCTGGCCTCCAGCCAAGGTTAACACACCACACCACGTCTCTTCAATTTACAGACAAGGATGTTGTGTGGGACAAATGCGTCAAATGCTTTGCAGAAGTCCAGGTAGATGACGTCAGCTGCTGTGACCCCATCATAGAAGGCCATGAAATTTGTCAGGCACGATTTGCCCTTAGTGAAGCCATGTTGGCTGTCACAAATCACCTACTTATTTTTCATGTGCAATATTATAATATTACATATTATAACAGTATTATATACATACATACCTATATAATATGTAATATTACAATACCCTTCCTGAGATCTCTCTCTGGACTGATGATGTCTAGTGCCATTCTTTTTCGTCCTTTCAAAGAAACAATTAAATGTTTTGCCAACTTTCTTTATCAGGTTTGCAACCTGTCAACCAAACTTTCAAGGGCTAATGAGAATAACAACAAAAGCTCAGCATTGATACTTTGCTGTTCGTTTGTCACTGGAAAATTTATCAGCACAACTTTTACTTCAAACCATAGGCCAAAATCTCACTGTCAGGGATGTCATGTTCTAAATAACACTGTAATTATCAACACCTCTTCCATACCTTTCTACAGTATGAGAATAGAGGAAGTAAATGTCTGGCAAGGTTCTTGCAGCATCAAGAACTGGTTCTTTAATCAGGGTTCACTAATATCTTTAAGAAGGCAAAATGGTGGCACCATTCGTAACAAAATCCAGCTGTGTGCTTTATCAATGGGAAAAGTAAAGCTAACATACACGTAAGTAAATCAAAAAGCTCCTCTTGCATTTTTTTTAGCGCCTCTAATGCCAAAACATTACCATTTGAACAGGATAATGATTGTTTTCAGAAATAATCTGAAAAGGTATCCCTTCAAAATGAGGTTCTGAGACAGCCAATTGAAACAGCAGCAACTTTAACCAAAAATTAATTCAAATATTCTTCTGACTGAGTGGTAATCATGTATCTGAGTGGAAGGAGCTCATATTCACAATGTTGTTACACTGATAAGCTTGACAAAGAAAAATGACCACACTCAGTCTTCGCCATTTAAACAAGGCCTACAACAAGTCCTTCATCACAAGACGTCCTGAAATACTGATGCTGCTGGCATGCTATACATGTACTTCTCACTTGTCACCTGGACCACATTTCTTCTGTCACTGTTTATGCCTATGTACATGCCTACAGACGACGAATCACAGGGATCATTTAGCAGTCACAGTACCATAGGATAACTCAATTAAGAAGGGACCTCAGGAGGTCTTTAGTCCATCCTCAAGCTCAAAACAGGATGAGCAGAGCCACATTCTGCAGGTCTTTACCCCATTCTGATCTTGAAAACCTCCAAGGATAGAAAATGCAGATTCTCTGGCCACCTTTTGCAGTGCTCAACTGTCCTGACAGTGAAGAAGTTTTTCCTTAGACCTAGTTAGCACCTCCCATTTCAGCTTAAGGCCATTGTATCTCATCCTTCCTCCACAACACTGACAAGCCTGACTCAAGCCTTCCTCATAATCTCCTCACAGGTATGGCAAGACCGCTCTAAGGGCCACCCCCACCAAAGACATCACTTATTCGGACTGCACAAGGCCAATACTTCCAACCTTCTCTGGAATCTCCCCCATCTCTTGTTCTCCCTCTCCACCTAACCTGACCATCCAGAAAGCCTTAACTTTGTTTTGGGGCTAATGAGAAGACACATGTTTCTACTATTCACATGTAAATATATAAGTACTGAAAAAGTAAATTACCAAGAATATGCCCAAGCCCCTACCTTGCTAAGTCTCAGGTATCTCAGTCATTGTTTCTTAGGGATAATATTAAAAACAGCAATATGTATTCCAGATTTTAGGATAAAGAATTATTCTGAGCAGATTCTGTTCTGTTCCCCCTCAACTGACTGACAGTTCACCCTATTCCTTCTCTACAGCTAAGGTTTTCAGGCTTCAGTTATGCTGTGTGTATTGTGTTAATAGAACTACTTTTAATTTCATGTTCTTAAAATTGATGATTGCAATTTGAGCTGGTTAAGAGTTCAGTACTCGTAATGCTGCCTTTAAACCATTTCTTATGCAGAGTAACTCAAACCTTTCTTATGAAGAATTCAATCCTCATATTGGAAAGGATTTAAAATCCTTCTGTCCTCCATGAATTTGAGCTTTGTTTTGAAGGATCATTAGCCAATTTTTGGACCTTCAGAAATTTCTTCTGGATCACATCTTAAACTAACTTTGTATCCAAAACACAATGACATACTTTCTAGTACTATTTGAATACAGAAGTCAGGAGATGTAACTCTCTCTGTAAACATTCAGTTCTTTAAAATTGGGAAAAAATACATTGATACATATGACTGCTAGACTACCTTTAAGGGTTCCATCACTTCCAGCTGGAGAGCAGACTGACTGTGGTGACCTCAAGGAAAAAGTCGCTGCATTCCTTATTGAAGGATTGCCATCCTAAAATGACAATGATAAAAAAATCATTATTATGAACAGGAACATTTGACAAAATAAAGATTGAAAGTAGTACATATACTAATAAAATGGACTGGACAAAAAAGCATACAATAAATTTTAGAAAAATATTTATTTACATAACAATCTTTGCAATTTAGACTGTAATTAGAATGCTATATAGGCAGTATTCCAAAGCACAATTAGCCCTAAGATAAATCTATAACCAGAATATTAAATAAATCTATGTACATGTCTTCTAGCTAAATAAGCACTTTTGGTTTACATTAAGATTCCATTTAGAAGTTTTTTGTTAAAAACACTCACAGTAAAGAGCTGAAAAGCAGATACCTGACCTCTATACAATACCAACTGAAAGAAACTGAGCATAAAGTGTAGATTTTTTAAAACAAACTCACAATTTTTTCACTTAACCTCCCACAAAGCTTATCTAGAATGCCATCTTACTTTTACAGTTAAACAAGTTAACTCTTTGTTTTTATATCCTCCAGCATACACACATCAGGACTGAAAAAAATCTCTAGCGCTCTAATTGCAGCAGCTGAGAAGGTCACATGTGAAACACAACTGCAGTGACTTTAGCATGATATTTGCCTATCTTGACAGTTAGATATGAAACAACTCCATGGCAATACGAAGCACTTCCCCAACACGGCAAACAACTTTTACTGTCTTCTCAGTTTTGCCCAGAACAATCTGCTTCAATGGAATTGATAATTTCTGACAAACTTCTTCTTAATATAATACTAAATATACTGTAATTATGCCCACGTTCTATCTTTAAGAATGTAAATTTGACTTTTTAACCGCCACACTACCTTAAAGTTAAACTCACTACTCAAATTCCCATTTAATGTTCCACATGTGTTTCTTATTGCTTTCATGGGGCCCTCTGCTGGTTGTGATTCACACAATTCACTAACTAGATTTAACTTCAATAGAACAGTGTTTCCCATTTTTAGCACTGTTTTTTTATACAGCATCTACAGGAATGTTTTGGGAAAGAACAAACTAACAACCCCTATATCTATGAATGGACAACTTCTATAATTGTCAACAAATTGCAAAAAGTCTGTTCTTTGAAAGAGTAAAGTCATACAAAGGAAGTCTCCAAAGAAGTTCTAAGGTTATTTAATCTGTTTCCAAATTAAATCGGTTATTGCAGTAGCTAATATTCTAACATGGCTCCTACTGAGGTATCTGAATATATACAGTTCTTTCATATAGCTTGTTTTTTCAAACCTGAATTATCTGTCTGATAAATACCTTTTATTCTTTTAATCAATTTCAATCCAATTAATACAAAGTTAGAAGGCTCAACTGTAATTACATTCTTACATGTCTGTATGGAAAAAAAAAAAAACAGCAGCTGGTAGTAAATTAGAAAGCTAAATTGGCATTTTAAGGACATAGAAGCCTGCATAGATGGGCAAGTACACACTGCCTCTGACAATGGCCCAACAGCCAATCTCCCCCTGCACAGCCATGAACTTAGATAGTGTACATATTATGCCTTATGAAGGTGTAGTTGATACTGCTTAGGGAAAATGAAAGAATTTGAAATTCATGGACTGAAGGTCCTTAAAAGTCAAAGACTATAAATCCATAAGAAACCTGACTTCATCAGTTTCACCATCCATAAGCATTTAGAAAACAATTCTATTACATTTTTTTTCCTCCCACAGCACAATGAATCTAAAACTCAAGCTGTGTTATTAATCACACTTATTTTTGCAAAAGTGCTTTCAAAAAGAGTTGTTGCCTCATGCGAGGAAAGCCTTATGTGCGAAGAAATCTAATGTTCAAATTCAATGCAACAAAAAGAACTGTATCTTAAACTTACATGTTGTTACTGTAAATCAAAGTGAATTAATTTCCTGATGAACTATTCATTTATTTACTACACTGAAATTATGGCGCTAACTTTTTTCAAACCTGACTGATCTTTGACTTGTAACACATCTCAAAAAAACCCCCCAAAATATTGGGAAAAAAGCTTAGTAACTTTTTAGGACAGGACAGACCCATGATTGCCAAGGACATATGCAAAGGCAACTTTTACTAAACCAACTGAACATACTAACCAGGCAGATGACCCTTCGGGTACACATGCCATTCCTACTATAGCTGACAAATTCTCAGAAGTGCTTATTTACAGTTTCCTAGTTCAGAGCTCCATCAAATGGTGATATGCAAGCACAAACATATATTCCAGGAATGCTCCCAAGTTTACCAAAAAATGCTCCTTAAACTGAGTGTATGTGTAATGCGCCTTCCAGGGTGTACTTCCTGATTTTGTAGAATCATACACTGCAAATATACAATATGCTGCAACTATTCACAGTTTTTAAAGAATAGGATCCTAATGATAAGAAAGAGAATAATTTTTTTTTTAAATTTTAGGATTTAATAATCCTCATTCATAAGTATCTTCGCTAAAGGTCACGCTGCCTCTGAAAAGACTGCAACGTTATGATTAAACTTATTATTCATACATAGATGCAAAACTTTAATCCAAATTCTTCAAGTTGTCTTCTGCATGATAGCTACTAAAATCAGCTTTTAAAGGCATAATCACAAACAAAATAAATGTAGCACATAAGCTCTATTACGAAAATGCACAAAGGGATAAAACTGCAAGTTTACAATATTTACTACTTTTTATGTTTAGTATTTTTCCAATTAAACCAATAAATGAGGGTATGCTTTATGTTTTCATAGTCTGTCCATTTTGAAAGAGTTTCATTTCTAAGTTTTCATGAACTAGGATGTGGTTGCATTGCTTGGATCACAAAACTAGAGATGAAATTTGTTTTAATATTTCCTCTTTGAAAATTACAAAATAAATTAGTCTAATATTAAAGATTTCAAAATAATGCTGTCTTAATATAACTAAGATTCTCTTGATAGTGTACCTTTAACATAGTTGGGGGATATATGTACATCTAATTCCAAGACGAGTTTCCTGTTTTGAAGAATTTGCATTGCTGAAGCGGAGACTTGAGAAAAACACCTGACGATTGTGCATGGTAACAGATTCCTTCATTACAACACTCTCCTGTTTAAGATACTACCTCTAAGCTAATGTGTTTAACCAGCATAATTCTTGCATTTAAAAAAAAAAACAAAAAAACAAACAAAAAACACCAAAGACTAACAAAACTAATAACTCTCTTGGAGTTCTGTATTAATCCTGACAAGGGATTTAGGGAGCCTGGTGTCAACAGTATGCTTGTTGAATACAACACTTTTTTGCTTCCATAAGCTAGTTTAGGAAGACAAGAGTTGCCTGCAGTTTTTTTTAAGCTAAATAAAACACAATCACACAAACACTCAAAAAGGCCTGCTTGTCACCAGATTTTGATGACCTTTTGTAACTACTGCCACACCTACTCTTGTAGGCATAACTATGTCCACGTTGCTCAAAGAGCTAGTAAAAAACTAAAATTGAAGCTTAACTGTGTTCCTCTTAAGAGCTACTATTAGACTGTGCACCAAACTTGTAAAGAAGAATCCCAACAAGCTTCATCCACAGGATGAGATGCTTATTAAGAAGAAAATAGATCAGTAGTTCAAAAAAACATTGGAGAAATTTTTTTTTTTCCCTTTAGATTCAAGATTTCAGAAGGCATTTCTCCCACATTAAATAGTCACCAAGGCAAACATCTTAGAAAGAAACCAGGTAATAAAAAACACATAATAGACCACCAAGCAAAAATGTCCATAGGAATTCTTGCCTTTGACAACACGACTATAGTACCTAACAAGTTACTCAGATCTCAAGTCTAATTGACAGCCGTGTGGCTCTTCAGAGAGACAAGTTAACTATACACCTATTTAGAATCTAGTATTGCTTGCACCAACATATTGCACAGTAATTGTGGACACACTATCTTTGCTTTAAAATAAACTTACATATGAGATTATGTGAAGATTTTTTTGCTTTTCCTAATTTCATCAGAATGAATGTTACAAATGGTTCCACAAAGGAAAGACAGAACTAGAAAAATTTAAATCTGACACATTGAAGCTGCATGGTTGAGTGTACACCTCCGAAACTGTAATAGACTTTCAATGGTTTTATACATCATCAACAACAACGTAAAATAGCTGACTTCTAAGGCAGCTAAACATAATACTTGCTTTACTGGAGTATATATTTGCTTTATCATAATAAATTGATTTAGAGAACATACATCACCACTTAGTCTGTGCACCATCTGTAGGTAGTCTTCATTTGAGCCATGCCTAGAATTATCAGCGTGATGATTAGCTGAACTTCCAGACAACTGACTTGAAACTTTATTTTCATGGAGATTCCTCATCCCAGCTGTGACAATGGGACTGGATACTGAAGCTGAAATACAAAAAAAAATATAAGTAACTACACTCATATATTCACACACTTGTTAAGTCCTAAAAAAGTTCCAGAGAAAACACCATAATAGTGGATATTAATGACCTAGATGCAAGAGGTCTGGAATCTGAACAAGAATCCAACTTTTTGATTGAATCCTTTTGCCACAGATACCTTGAATAAAGTTAGATATCCACAATTTAAATATTCAGGAGGATTTTAAACCTAGATTCTACGTACAGATTAGCCAATTTGTTCTCCACATCTATCCTAATTACAGTCAGTATCATATTCTTATGGGTTATAGAAAACTTTGTTTTCCTCTATATAAATTGTATTCACTACTTTTAGTAACCTCCAAGGTATTCATGAGACATTCAACAGCTATACATATTCTAAGCATAAGGCTAAACTTTAAGAACAAATTATTTGAAAGAATTCAATGAGAATTCTACTTACCAACAAAAAATGCCTAGACACTTTAATAGTGTTCATATTCAAGATTGTTTTTAGAAAAGGGAAGAGCAAACAAATCCATTCATTCTGAAGGTCATCTTTGCCAGTTACTGCATACCTTGAGCATAATTCTAGCCAAATTAGAATTAATCTAGTTGACACTATAAAGGTTTGGGAAGGTGAAATAAACTAGCTGAAAAACTTATGTTACACTGGCAAAAATGAAGTTTTCACTAGTACAGATAAATGATGGCCATAGATAACAAAATTGTTTTGTTTTGATTTTTTCTGTTGTCATGTATACATGACAACTATGCAAAATGGGTGTACACAGAGGAGCAAAGTAACATGAACACGTGCTTTACCTTTTCTTCTTCCCTTTTTTTTTTACATGAAGAATATACTACCACTTTGTACAGTCAAAAAAGCAAAGCTTGAACATAAGCAAAAAAATTGCCTGCCAACTCAGAGATTTGCATTAAACCTGTAATTCCTTCAAAGAAATTAAAAACCTGTGAAATGTGCACACAAAGGTAAAGCTAACATGAGACAGGGGAATAAAACAAACATCACAGACTTACCTTGCTGCATCTGAGGATGTGGTGTATAACTTGGAGGATGTGAATATGGCATGTATCCTGCAGGGCTTTGAGGAGCATATGGACTAGGCACTGGACTGCTCTGTTGTGCCAAAAATCTGCTACCAGAACTTGTCTGTGGTGGCACAAACCGGCTAAAAATAAAAAGAACTTTTTAGAAGTTCGAAAAGGAATTTAGACAAATTTATTATTTCTTTTGGAATATTACACATTCAGAACATTGCTTTAAGATTCAAGATTACAACACAATCAAGAATCCTCTCAAAAGCAGTGTTTTAAACTATCGATACTTTCCCAACGTCAATTATTACTTAGAGTCACAGCTTAGATCCTGCATTAGTAAAAGTAAAGAATAGAATAAAAAGTATTCATAAGACCTCCACCTAGGGAAAGGAAACTGACAAAAATATGTAGTAAAATCAGATCTGCAATTTCCAAAAGTTAGTCCTAGAAGTCTGAATGAAAGTGACAGCTAAGTTTTAATTAAGAACTAGGTAACTAGGATTAACAAGGAGCCATCTACTCTTAATACGATTTTTCCAGTAAGATGTCAAATAACTTCATCTAACAGAACTATACGGCCAAGATACAGGAATATGACAGACAGTAAGGTAGGCTGACTCAAATTCCACTGCATACAACTTATTCTTTCACAGGCTTTGTCTTAGACTGATCCTACGGAGAGGAAGCCATAACATTAACATAGGCTTGTGACAACAGTACATGGACAGTATAGCTTATATTCTTACATGAGCTTTTCAAAATAAAAATAAACCAAATAAACACTTCAAAATGTGCATTACACATTTTCACAACCCTCAGTACTAGATAGTAACTCTCTGAATCTAAACTTCCGTAGAAAGAAATAGCGAAGTACTAAGGATTTTGCAAGAATTTTGAGAAGATGTTATACTCACAAGTCAATAAACCTTATTCAATATCCCTTTCAGATATAAAAATTTAAAAGTGTACTGGTTTTTGTGCAGATACAGAGCATTTCATTTGTCAAAACAATTCGAGTAACTTCAAGTGAAAAGTGAAATTTAAGTTTATTTTAAGAATGATATCTAATAACTCAAATCTGTTAAATCCCAGTAACCAGCTTGAAACTACATGCAAAAGTCTTTCCTCTACTCCAGAGTACTTTACGATACTAATAAAAGCCTCAATTATAGGTACATGCTACTTGCTGACACTCAAAAGTTTAAAAAAGAACCAGAAAGTTGACGAGGATGATGCTGGAAGACTGGCCAAACTACTGGGCCTTCATTATCTGAGTGGCCTTTCGTATAACTGTTACAGCAGTACTCTATGTTTTACACGCCTTCTTTCCCACCCTCCTGTCACATTAGTAGTCTCATACATGCTAGAACACATTAGCCCCTTCAATCCTCCTGCCACCAGGTAGAGAACAGCTGGAGAGGTGGCAGGAGGACTCCTCAAGCAGGAAAGAAAGTTTGCCAAAATTATGGGAAGGGGAGAGAGCAGAGAACCATTACAAATCCTTAGAATATACAGATTAACTAACTGGCAGAAAGATGTTTCTTCGCCAGCTGATGAAACTCACCCTGCTGTCAGCCAAATGCAAAATTTGTTTCGACGCTGATTACCTTACACTAGTATACTTGCATCAAGAATTGACTGTCACTGTAGGAAGAATTTGCAGTTTTTTGCCCCACCCACTCCATTTAAAAGAAAGCATTACCTGGAAGGGCTATGTGAGATAGTGGTTTGTTGGTAATTGGAAGATGCAGGACTACCACGCATGGAATTCTGAGAAATATTAAACTGTGACATCATCATCCCTATTAAAAAGAAGATAGCAGCATTACTTTACACACATTTCCTTTTTAATCAAAGAAGTCTCTAATTTCAGAAATTATTATATACAAGGAGATTATAAACTTTACAGACATCAACATCATCTACCCATTACTGTTAGAAAACATTAGAAATGATCGATTCATTGTAAGATATCCATTTTACATCCTGACTAAGTGTTCCCTAAAGCAATGTTAATTCAGTTATAAATATCAACAGTAGTTCCTTTTCCTGTTCCTTAGAGCTTCCCAAGCCAAAACCTACTAGTAAATAGAAACATTTTATAACAGGACATATATTCCACACCTCAGGTTGGTGTGTACAGTACTTTGTGACAATTAGTAAAAGATTCGGAAACTTCATAAGTTAGAACACAGAAAACTTATCTCCCATTTTTAGAGCAAGTACGGCAATCATCTTGGGCTGAGTGCTGTAAGATATTCTCACTGCTCCCATAATGCCTTAGCGGTTCCTTTCTACTCAGGAACAAAACCTTTCTATTCCACTGCTGCTATGCTTATAAGGAATTTTATCAAAGATGGTGCTGAAATATTTCAGTTGCAAAGCAGAAACAATATCCCAACTCCCACAGCCTATAGATCCCACAGTCACTTCATAAATTCAGTTGTACTAGGTGGCAAACCACAAGTACCAATGTGCTTGAAACTAAGAGGCATTTGGACAATGCCCTTAATAGTTTGCTTTAACTTTTGGTCAGCCCTGAAGTGGTCAGGTAGTTGGACTACATGATCAGTGTATACACATGCACACTGCAGCTTGGGAAGCCACAGCAACTGATCCACAGCCATGGGTAACAGCACATCGCTAGTACAAGTATTTTAAACCAAAGGTTAGACAGAAGGCTGACAGAAGTCCCCAATCCAGAGTGTTTGGGAGCTGCCAATACTTGAATTGCTATCATTGATTTAAACTACTGCAATATTAACACAAGCAAAACTAGTTTCAGAAATCCACCCTGTCACCATCTTTTCCCCTCTCCCCAGTAGAGAAGAGCTGTCATGACTCCCCAGGAATGCAGCCATTACTGCCTTCTGGGAGGTGTGAAATGCTGCATTCCAATCACATTAGCACAGGCAAACTAGTCCAGAGCAGGAGTGAAAGTCCCATGTTGTACTGAAAAAAATATATCAGAGACCTCCATACTTCAATACAGAGGCACAATTTCATTGTCCCAAGTAACAGAAGACTCCTCAGCTCCTGCTAAATTTGTTTAAATGGACACATTTAAATGCATTGCAGATAAGGCTAACACTAG